AGTTTCTCCGTTGTGTCATATAGTTGTCTAATATTTCCTTATCTTACAGATTTTTCCGCTAGGCCTTCCATGTGTTTCTGATTGTCAGCTCTAATGCTCCTCTTCACTTTCTTCTTTGTTTCTGTGTACTCGGTTTGCACCTTAAGTTTTTCTGTTCTTGTTCTACTGTTGTTAATTGATGTCTTCTTGTTCTACATTTCGTGGATCCTGTTCAGGGTTTCCATAAAGATCCATTCCTGACACTTTGAAGGTAGTGCCTATTTGATCCCTTTCTGGTTTACCTCCATAGTAGTTTCTTCTTCTTTCAGTAGATCCCGTAGGTCTAGGAACCTGTTGTTGAGAACTATGTTGAATTGCTTGAGTTTGTCAGTGTGTTGAAAGAAGTCTGTATTGGACCATTCTAATGCTGTTTCCCCAGTTTTCCATTGTTTCTTTAGCTTCGATGCTATCTTGGCAACCACCAGTTGGTGGTGATCTGAAGCTACGTCAGCTCCTCTCCTTGTTACCCTCCATTGTCCTTTTGAACACTTAGCACGTCACTACGATCGATCTCAGCTTTTCATAGAACTGATCTTTATCGTCTTCATTGTTACCATTTGTGGGTGCATAACATTGAATAGTATTAATTGTGATTCCCTCCTCCTTTGTTTTGAAGAATGCTTTGGTGATTCCGGATCCATGAGGTTTTCATCCTATAGGTGCTTTACGTGCTTCTTTGGACAGCACCAGAGCAACTCCCTGAGTGTGTGGAGCATTTTCTTTTTTCTGACATGAGTACATCAGCATTTCTCCCGAGTCTATCCTTTTCTGTCCAGCTTTGGTCCAGTGGTTTCTACTTATTCCGAGCACCACCAAGCTGTATCTCGTTTCCGCAGCTATTTGGTCGGTTCTTTCAGTCTCGAACATTGTCCGGATATTCCTTATGCCTATGATGATAGTTTCTCTGGTTGTTAGAAGGGGCATCGACCTCGTGACATCCGAAGAACCTCGGCTTTCGTCGTGAGGCGTCATAATTCCCCCTTCAACTTAGAAGGTATGGTTTAAATGGTTTAATTTATTTATTCTGATTGGCGTGTTTCAACAAGATTGTTTTCTATGGGATGATGTTGCTGACTCAATACCTATTATTCCTTCATTATCTAGACTTCGGGTTTTCGGTATCTCTTTATTGTTCGAATAGGTGACCAGTGACTTCTAAGCATGGCAAGATGTCACTCGATGGGTTTACAACTGTAATCGCTTAGAGTTTTCATTTCTCAGACTCCTTTTTGCCACACTGGGGGGGGACAGAAAGGGAAATAATGATAAATAATTCTTTAAACGTAGCTTTAAAGGTCTTTAGCAGTTCTGATGTCCTTAATTATCGCATTGAACACACCTCTGGTTGTGAACACTCGGTCAAGCATCCTTACCAGATCACACTTCGGAAAGTTGTATTGCGCATCGTTTACTTACTTACTTACTTACTTACGCCTGTTACTCCCAATGGAGCATAGGCCGCCGACCAGCTTTCTCCAACCCACTCTGTCCTGGGCTTTCTTTTCTAGTTCTATCCAGTTCTTGTTCATTCTTCTCATGTCTGTCTCTATTTCTCGGCGTAATGTGTTCTTTGGTCTTCCCCTTTTCCGTTGACCTTCAGGATTCCATGTGAGGGCTTGTCTTGTGACGCAATTATCTGATTTCCTCAAGGTGTGCCCAATCCACGTCCAGCGCTTTCTCCTGATTTCTTCCTCCACTGGAATCTGATTTGTTGTCTCCCACAGTAACTTATTGCTGATAGTGTCTGGCCATCGGATCCGAAGTATTTTGCGTAGACAGCTGTTGATAAACACTTGTATCTTCTGGATAATGGCTTTCGTATTTCTCCACGTCTCCGCCACATACAGTAGAACTGTCTTGACATTTGTATTGAAAATTCTAACCTTGGTGTTGGTTGACAATTGTTTTGAGCTCCAGATGTTTTTCAGTTGTAAGTATGCTGCTCTTGCTTTGCCGATCCTTGTCCTCACATCTGCATCTGATCCACCGTGTTCATCCATGATGCTGCCCAGATATGTAAAGGTTTCCACACCCTCCAAAGCTTCTCCGTCAAGTGTAATTTGATTGGTGCATATTGTATTGTATCGGAGAGTCTTGCTTTTCTCTTTGTTTATATTGAGACCTACTGCTGCTGAGGCTGCTGCTACACTGGTCGTTTTCTCCTGCATTTGTTGTTGCGTTTGTGATAGAAGAGCCAGATCATCCGCGAAGTCTAAATCGTCAAGCTGCATCCTGCCTGTCCACTGTATCCCGTGCTTTCCTCCAGTCGTTGACGTCTTCATGATCCAGTCGATTACCAGGAGAAAGAGAAAGGGTGAGAGTAAGCAACCTTGCCTAACACCGGTCTTTACTTGAAACGAGTCGGTGAGTTGTCCTCCGTGGACGATTTGGCAGTTTAGTCCATCATAGGAGTTCCGTATGATATTGACTATCTTGATGGGCACGCCGTAGTGTCGAAGAAGCCTCCATAGTGTCGTCCTGTCCACGCTATCAAATGCCTTCTCGTAGTCGATGAAGTTGATGTAGAGTGATGAATTCCATTCGATTGATTGTTCCACAATTATAGGTAGAGTTGCGATTTGATCTGTGCACGATCTATCCTTACGAAATCCAGCTTGTTGATCTCGAAGTTGGGCGTCCACGGAATCCTTCATCCTGTTTAACAATACCCTGTTGAAGACTTTCCCTGGTATTGAGAGAAGAGTGATACCTCTGTAGTTATCGCACATGTTGAGATCGCCTTTCTTCGTTATTTTGATCAGAAGTCCTTTTTTCCAGTCTGTTGGTACTTGTTCTTCATCCCGAATCTTACTGAAGAGGATGTGGAGTATCTTGGCAGTTGCTGTTACATTTGTTTTCAGTGCCTCTGCCGTGATGTTGTCTGGTCCCGCTGCTTTGCCGCTCTTGATTTGTCTAATGGCCATGCTGATCTCTTTAATTGTTGGTGGGCCAATATCGATTGGGAGGTCCGTGGGTGCTGCTTCGATGTTGGGTGGGTTCAGTGGAGCTGGTCGATTCAAGAGTTCATTGAGGTGTTCTACCCACCTGTTTCGTTGTTCTTCAATGTCGGTGATTACTTTACCTTCCTTGCTTTTCACTGGTCTTTCTGGTTTACGGTAATTTCCAGCAAGTTTCTTTGTTGTATCATACAATTGTCTCATGTTTCCTTCTCTTGCAGCCTTTTCCGCTGTCGTTGCTAAATCTTCCACATATTTACGTTTGTCGGTTCTGATGCTCCTCTTCACTTGCTTGTTTGCCTCTGTCTATTCGGCTTGTGCCTTGGCTTTTTCCGCTCTGGTTCGGCTGGTGTTGATTGCTGCCTTCTTGTTCCTCCTTGCTTCAATTTTATCCAGTGTACCAACAGTGATCCATTCCTTGTGATGGTGCTTCTTTTGGCCTAGAACCTCCTGACACGTTGAAACGATTGCCTCCTTGATACCTTTCCAGTTGCTCTCCATGGTAGTTCCCTCTCCATTGAGTAGGTCATGAAAGGCCTCGAACCTGTTGCTGAGGGCTATGTTGAATTTGTTGAGTTTGTCAGCATCTCGAAGAAAGGCCGTATTAAACTTTTGTGATGTTGTCCGCGCCGTTGTCCACTGCTTCTTGAGTTTTAGTTTCATCTTGGCGATCAGCAAATGGTGATCGGATGCTATATCAGCTCCTCTTCTGGTTCTCACATCCTCCATCGTCCTCCTGAACTTTTTGTTGATGCAGACATGGTCGATTTGATTTTGTGTAGTGTGATCCGGTGAAATCCAAGTGGATTTGTGTATGTTTTTGTGTGAGAATATGGTGCCACCTATGACCAGTTTATTGAAGGCACATAGATTTGCAATTCTCTCATCATTTTTGTTCCTTCCTCCCAGTCCATGTTGTCCCATGACGTCTTCATATCCAGTGTTGTCCATTCCAACCTTGGCATTGAAATCTCCCATCAGAATTGTCAGGTCCTTGGTTCAGCACTTCTCGACGATCGACTGCAATCTGTCGTAGAATTGGTCTTTAGCGTCTTCATCGTAGTCATTGGTAGGCGCATAGCATTGGATGACGTTCATTGTAATGCCCTCTCTCTTTGATCTGAAGGAGGCTTTGATGATCCTTGGTCCATGAGATTCCCATCCAATAAGTGCATTTTGTGCTTTTCTGGACAGCATTAATGCAACTCCTTGTGTATGTGGGTCATTTTCTTCTTCATGACCGGAGTATAACAGAAGTTCTCCTGAAGATAGTCGTAGTTGTCCAACCTGCGTCCAATGTGTTTCGCTGATTCCAAACACCTCCAGGTTGTATTTTCTCATTTCTGCAGCAATTTGGAAAACTCTTCCGGTCTCCCACATTGTCTGGTCATTCCATGTAGCTATAAAAATTGTCGCTCTGGTTGTAAGAAGGTGCATCGGTCTCATGACTTCCGAAGGAACTCGGCTTTCATCATGAGACGTCATAATTATTCCTTCTACTCCCAGGGCAGAGTTTGAATGGTTTGAATGGTTTTTTCTGGTTAGCGTTTTTTTAGCGAGTTGATTTTCTACGGGATGGGGTCGCTAACCCCATGCCCAATCCTCCTCCTTTACCCGGGCTTGGGACCGGCAGTAACCCCCAGAGGAGCTACAGGCGGAGTTGCGCATCGTTTACGATCACTATTTTGCTCATATTCCATAGAATGCGTTTAATAGACCTTTGGCTCAGATATATGTTCGTATCGCATGATTATTTACTTCTGATTCAGTTGGCTTACAGAGCACTGTACGAGAAGAGGTTCTGTGCAGTAGCGCCCTCAAGTATTGGGTATCCATGGCATCTAGTATCTCTAAAGCTCGTCGTATGTTACATTATAATTTTGCTCAATCAACTTTGTCTCTTTACTGACTGTGATTGAACCCTCATTTTATCAAAATTTAACCTTAAAATCCTTCTGTAGAATGCAGCAGGTTGATTTTTCTCGCCACAAGTTTGTAGTTTTCGTTCACAACCTGAAGGTTATCATCTGACCCTAAGCATTTCGTGGCGGATATTTTGTTTGCCTTCCAAGGTCATCGGTTTCTCAAAAATGTCATTTCTTAAAAATTGTCGTGTTTTACTAAAGAGTACAAACTCAGATATAGGAGAATCGCCTCAACAGTACAATGTTATTTTAGAAAATCGATTTGTGAGAGGTGCTTTATTATTTGATTCAGGGGCTATCGCCCATATCAGTCCCTATGAATTTGACTTTCGAAAGTGCCAGTATACTAAAGCTGTTGACGCTTATGCTTGCCTAGGCGTTTTGGTTCCTATGACATCACCTACCTCAGACTCCAGCATTATGGCTCCACAGTCTTATCTTGTTCTGGCTACTGGATGTACTTCTGTGGGGAAGCTGCCGCTCTTTGAGGTTTTTCGCATCACCAATGTGCAATTCATCAATCTGAAGTGTCAAGGAGTTGAAGAAGACATCTATCCCGATGTAAGTTTTGCTATTTTTGGTCAAGACACTTTCGTTAGAGGGGAAATCCATCCAACTGGGTGCTATTTTTCTGTTTGCTGTAGTATACAAGTCATGTTTTTAGGAATATATAAGGTAAGGCTCTCAGATATAACTTAATCTCTGATCTGTATGAAATCGTTCATCACATTCGTTTGATGTTTCTGTTGAGCATTTAAACTTCTGAACATCCAGTGAGACCCTGAAGAGTCTTATAAAGTCATCATAGGATCGAGGAACCAATGACTTCTGCTATCTTATAGTTAATCCCAGTTGTTATGTGTTTGGAGATGAATAATAGGTCTATGTGGTCGGTTGTATTTCTAGGTGAATCACAGACTTAGTACCACTAAGTTTACCACGGTTAGTACACAATCAAGTAAGCAGTCAGTTTCCCTCATAGGGTGCTATAAGTAATTAAACATTCTTTAACGATGATAATTACTTTTGCTTATGGTTGGAACATAAAAAATATTTTCACTTCAACACTGGCTAACCGAATTATCGAAGTTTTGATATTACATTTGACTTGACCTTTTTCGTAGTGAAAATAGGTATACCTATAGGAGTATTTTTAGCGAGACTATAATTTGTGGACGAAACAATCAGATTTAAGATATCTGGCCTTAGATTTGGGAGCTAAATTCACTCATCAACATGGCTAGACAGCGTTTTGTGATTATATATAATGTCAGTTTCTGTTAAAAACCTGGACACTAATTTTTAACCTTACTGTCCAATTGCAAATCTTGATTTTAATTCCTCACATCATTTTATAAACTTCATATAACCCTTGTAAGTAGGTGGACATCCTCAGCGCCACTTAAGCATTGCTCAAACGTCCATAAATTAGTCTCACCGACACTTGAATCATGGTAATATTGTTTTTGTAAATCCACACACATATTCAGATTTTATTTATTTAAACACATAAATATTGATACAAGGAAGCACCAAATACATATGTGTCACACAAATCGAATGAAATTTGTGTGAAGGCTGTGATACTGCACAGGTGCCCAAACTGAAGCAGGTGGTGGCAGTGGAGAATCGTGAGGAGATGCAGTCCCATGGTAGCCGGTGACCAACGATTGATATCAAGTTTTCTGTAGTTCTTTCATCAGCGATGGATCAACCCACTATTGTTTTACTGTTTATTTTTGGTTAATTAACCATTTCTATTTCGTGTTAAATGCTTGAAGTTCTTTTACTAAGTCTTTATTGGTATTTGTCAGCGAAATATATCAGCGATTTCCATTGTTTTCAAGCAATAAGCTATAGTTTGGTATTTTGTATCACTTGAAATGATCGTTAACTGCAACACTAATTGTCATATAATAACCAATTTGCCCACCTTTGATACAATCAATTTTTCCTGAAAATCTTTATACTTCCTGGTAAAATTCACAATCTTTAGGTATCATTTTTGTTCACAGCTCCGAAAACTGCTGTCATCGGGAATGTTTTACTTTGCTCGATCCAATATTGATGGGAAACCATTCGATTTAACTGTCAACATTCAGAACCGAAGTCGTTTGGGTGATGAAATTTTGACTTCCAGTGATATATACACTCGAGGTGATGCTGGACTAAATTTTCTGTGGAACAAAGGGTTGATGGGACCTTTGATACGAGCTGGAATCAATCCCAGTGATTGGTTGGTATCCATAATATGTGGTGGATTCGAGGTTTGTACAGTCTATTGCAGCGTTGGTCAAGCTCGAGTTGGTATCGTATCAAGAGTGTCAGCTCAGAGACCTGGTACCCGTTTTCATGTACGCGGGTTAAATGATTGTGGTGATGTTGCCAATTTTGTTGAAACAGAACAAGTGGGTAATTTTTTAAGGTTTCAAAGTGTCCATTCATGATCATTTTTACATATGATAAGCACTAAAACTCCATCAAAATGTTTCATTAACCAATGAGTTGTTTTGTTGTTGTTATGAATTATGATTTAATAAACAGTTGCAAGACACAAAGTAAATTGATAGAATACTGGTTGCGATGACATGGCTGATTGATAACTATTTACGGTACCAGAATAACGTACACTCTAGGGTGGGTTAAGATCAAAGGTAGGACCGGAATAATGGGTTATTTCTTCAATAAAAACACACACACAAAATATGAAGCACAAAAATGAATACGACTAGGTCACTTGAAATATAAGCAATCAGAAAATATGGGTTTTGTAGGTTGTTCAGATTCTAATAAAAGTTATATCTGATTATCAGGCTAAATTTTCACCCGACATATCAGTTATGCTGTTGGCGTTATATACATAAATGTTACTATCATGTACGACTTTTGTATTGACTTTAAATGCCTACTGAATTTCACATAGGTTCTGAACCACCATCTAGCCTTATAGAGATTATAAGATTTAGTATATTTAAGTTAGTCTTCGTGTAAATAGATCAACTTACTGGAGAAAAATTCATAACATTTCAATCATCTCAAAAACTGTCTTTTTACTCCAGTCATTACTGGCTTTTTGTATAAAAAATCTAAATGATAAACATATGGTGAAATTGTGACAGATGAGGTCTTAGTATAATAGAGAGCAAATTAATAATCAAGAAACATTGTTTTTCACTGAATAATGCATATACATTTTTAACAAGTATTATATTCAAATGCGTGTATATCTGTCATTTCCGGTACTAGCTGTAGAATAATATACAGTGGCAAATAAAACAACTTATTTTTATGTGTGTCATTTATGTCAATAAACGTACAAAGAAGTCTTATTTAGGACATCACTTTCAATAAGATTTATATTTACGACTTCTGGAACTTAAAGTAGAAAAGGTTATCCAGGATTGTTTATTGCAAATAGTACGAAAATCTTATGATTCATCCACCGAGTTGTTTCTTTTGACCTTTCCTAAATATCTGTTTAATCTATAGAGAGATGACTTTTGTCTTGGAAATTCATAGAAGCCATGTGATCATCACTTTAGTACAGTCTAGACATTCAATAGGTTTACACAAAAGATTATTGTTTGGTGTTCTTATACTATCAATAGTAATCGGAAAACGAAACATCAGAACTTTAGTGAAGTAGTTTAAATCAATCAATATTTAGTATTCTTGAGTGGTATAACGAGTATATAGCAATGTATCTATGCTAATCACTTCAAGGATTTTTTATTCTTTAAGCATCCATTTCTTAGATAGACATCTTTACAGAATGGGTAAATTATATTCTCTTTTCTGTACACATACTGTACGATAACTTATTGAACGTGTGACATGCCTATCTTTCACTAGACCTCTTGTTTATTATCGGTCTTTTTCTGCAATATCCTGATAGCTATGCAGAGATTTTTATGAAGAAGTATCAACCATTCTATATTTTCTTCGTGCGATAGTCGTGCATGTGACCATTAGAGCATAACCAAATAACTGAAGAATATTGAAGTTAAGGATAGGGGTATACATAAGGAACGTACGTTTATCACATTATGGCTAAAATATCATTCATGTTAGATTACCGTTTTTTGACTTAATGGTGATGAGAAAGAAATTCATGTGAAAATGTCTCATAATATTCCAGCTCATGGATTTAGTGGATATTAGCTTTGATTCCTGAGTATAGTTATGGGCTGTCTTGTTGGTGTCTCTACTATGATAATATTCGATTGTCGACGATTTAGATATCACGTATACAGATCCGTTCTTGTATTACAGTTGCACCTACACTTTTGGTTTTCTACAAGATAAGCAAAATATTACTTTATTTCACTTGACCCGTCTGTTAAATTCTATCTTTGTTTTGTTGAAAACGATTGTAACTTACCGTTATTCTGATCTTAACGTTGATTATTATTATCCTACTGTTTTTAAACATTTAATTAAATTTAGTAAAACAACAATTTATTTCATTCAACTTGATCCATTGATAAAATTTTAAAACATGAACAAGAGTCGCAGAATAAAATGAATTCGTTATATTTTGAGGCCTCTCATAAACTCCGAGCGGCCTAAGGTTGCAGTTATTAATATCATTCTAGGCAAAGTTTTGCACATCATAATCGGCGATTGCGATTTTTACGAAATAGCACAGAAATGCATATAAAACAGGAAAAGGATAAAAATCATTTTACAAACCATTTAAGATTGGTGAATATTTATGTGTTGAAAATGAATTCATACAAACAAAGGGAATGATATAATAACTATCTATGAAGAGGTAAGATGAAAATTAATTTCTATTAACAAATCAGTAAAGAATATACAATCAAGCCATCTAGTTTGTATAAAATTCAAATTCAAATCCATTAGTAAATAAATACCAGTGAATTGTTGTGGTTGTCCGTCTGTCACCAGTTTTCTTATAAAACTCATAATCTGTTTATCTTTTTCATGACTTACAATTAATAATATATCGTGAAAGTGATGTCGAATTTCTCTCTTTCTAAACAATACATTAACTTACTTATAATTAACATTTCTTACATCTTTCTTTCATAGTTGAAATCGTGAGTCAATTAAAGCTAGACCACCATGGAAAACCTGGAAGCACTAGACGACCGTTTCTTCCTATTATGGAACTCCTCAGCAGTGCGCGTTTACGATCCCGCACTCGCCAGATTTGAACCCAAGACCTACCATTCGTGGATGCGCACGGCCATCCAGTGCTTCCAGGTTTTTCATGGTGGTCTAGCTTCAATTGACTCATGATTTCAACTATGAAAAATACTGAAATCTCCACAAAACCCCTTTTGATTCCTTACATCGTTTTACCGTTTAAAATATGATTTATTAATACAAAAAGGTTATCCATCCATTTTTTTTCAAATTCTCCCTTAAATTGTAAGTTTAAATCAAACTTCATTAGTTACTCATACTTAATTTTATTATCATATCTCTCTTTTTTTTCTCTAATTTTCTTTTGAAAAATATTTGGCTAGTTTATCTATTTAGGTGACTCTGTCAGTAGTTATATTCAAGTTCGTGGTACAGTTCCATTATTTTGGGAGCAACCAGGTTTACAAGTTGGTTCACATAAAATTTCACTTAGTCGACCGTTAGAAATATCAATGAGTGCATTTGAACGTCATTTTATGAATTTAATATCACAGTATGGATCAGTTGGTGTTGTTAATTTGTTAGGTTGTAAACAAGGCGAAGCAATGCTTAGTAAAGCCTATCAGGAACAACATAGAAAATCATCTTTTCGAGTAGGTTTATTTCATGATAGCTTATGCATTTTTTTATAAATATTTTGTTTATAATAAAATGAATTAATACAAAAGAAGTTTCTGATTACTATCTTAAATTGAGTTAATAACAGTTTAAAGTCAAAAAATACCAAATAGTTATTGATTGTTATTTGTAAGGGTTTGTTTATATTCAAGATTGAGTTTGATCTGTTTTCAAGATTACATTCTGCTGAACAGCTCTGAATATTAGATAGCATGGATTCCGAATTGTTATGTTTGGAGAGATTACGAATTCCCTAATCTGATAACAGAACAAAGACTCTGTGACCAATGACCGATAAGTTAGCCATTCTGACGCGTCCCAGCCCCGCTAACTAGAGTGAAAAGTCCAAGTCCGAAGTGGGGAAATACATCCCACAAGCAGCCTGAAGCACAAGCAATCGCAACAGGCACATATCAAACGTATATATACAGCATAAAATTGTCCTTGGGAAGCGTTACAAAATAGCATACTAAAAGATACAACGAACCAATAGCGTTTAAGATTCTCCCAAGTGCGAAATACGACATGAAGTTGAAAGCGAGCGCTTTTGGCGCGAAAACAAGCAATTCAAATTTTTAAAATAAAATTACAAAAATAAGGCATTTACCAAGTGAGTTCTGGAGATCTAAAATCCTCAACATTTAATTACTGACCATTATCCAAATATAATCGAATGTAAAGTGGAACCTGTTTAGAATCTCCTATCCAATAGTCAAAAGTTGGGCCTTTTTATCATCACACCATCGCCTTATATGATGTTACTAATCTTTTTAGAAGGATCTATATTTTTTGTTTTGATTAAACAATTTTTATCGTCAGAGTATTTATATTCGGGAGGTGTTGACTACATTATAAGCAAAGATGGATAGTGGCTGGCAGTGGAATCCAGGACGCGCGTTTCATCCTATTTGGGACTGGTCCGCTGGATTTACCTGCATCTCAGAGTTGATGCTCACTCTAGGACTGGAACCCAGTACCTTTCGCTTCAAACGCCATCGCGTTATCCACTCAGCTACTGAGTCCTGAACATCAATGGGAAGATTCAAACAAATAATACCAAGTGAATTTAGTTGTTGACTACAGTTTGTAACAGCATCCCCAATCGTATCAGTTACTTTGTTTATCGGGTTATTTTCATGTAAACTTAGGGATATAGGAATTAGTTTTTCCCAACTTCTCTATATGAATTAATCCAATTGTTAATATCATTTGTTTAATAATAAATTTAATTTTGTTTTGCCCTAAATTGTCTTGTTTTTATCCACTTTTTTTACTTGCTCTAAGTTTTTGTTGCGTCACTAATCATTCATAGGTATTTCGTTACATCTTAATTGCACCACTGTGGTTAAAAATGAATAAAACGGAGTACTGATTTTTAATGAGATGACTTTTCATATTATAATGCATATAAATTAGTGTACATATATAGAATAGAGTTTTTTCTACATTCCTTTCATTTTGTTCCTTTTTCAATGTTACTTGTCTGATGCACCTCATTGTTGAAAAAAGAATACTATTCACCATATTATATTTGATTATCATTCGGAATTACAATCTAAGGGTGCAAAAAGTTTAGAATGGATAAATCAGCAGATTAGTCGATTAACTGACGATTGGGGATATTTCTATGCAAATGGTCAACAGGTTGAATTATGTCAAACTGGAGTGGTAAGTATTCCAGCCTTTTCCTATTTTAATTATTGACTTCTTTGCATGAATGTAAATCTTATGAATCATATCTTTGCTTCCTAGACCGTAACAGAGAAATGAAAGTTTTGAGCTCGATCTTTTGTGAAGACATCCATAATTAACTACAAGACTGACACATCTGTGGAGTAATGGTTTAACGGTCATAGTACTTTACTTATAATCACCAATATGCAGATTTAAATTCAGTTCTATCTATTTGTGTTTAAAAGGAAGGTAGTATCACTGGCTTTGTTACATAAAGTATAACTCATAGCTAAGTGTACTGGTGTAAACTTAAATGTGGAATTAATAACAAGTAAATTGTTTGGCTAGCATAATTAAAGTGACCCCACACCAGTGTATTTTTAATTTTAAAAGACTGAACATGCAGTATGCTTACACATGAATTTATAACATAACAATATAATGTATTACCTATCAAATTAAAGACAATTTTAAATAGTGTAGTTAAATTTGATTTCACTCTTCACTTCTTCGTATACCATTATCGCTCTGTTCTACACTTTTTGTTACGTAACCTGGTATATTGTATGTACTGAGCTTTTGCACTGAAAAAGCGATGAAAAGAGAATTATCCTGAGACTCGTCGCTTAGATATGCTGGGGTTCTGTGGTTTATATTCGCTTAAGAACTTAGGCCCAGTGCCTGTTACCTCAAACCCTAACGCGTTATCTACTAAAGTACTGAGTTCATCTGGACACTAATTTATTTAACGGATATAAAGTTCTTAATAAGGATTTATATGTTTTCCACTGTCGATATTCAGAACTGCAATTTATCATCTGAGTGAAGAATATAATCAGTTTCTGCTGGGATATGAACATCTTGGGCGGATCTGCCAACATTGTCTGTAATTACAAACCGTTACTTGTAATTTTCTGTTCTTAGATTTTACAGGACTTATCTGACCGACCTTTGTTGATAGATCGATTTCATGGGAAGATTTCTTCTTGCTATAACTTACTACATCTTGATTATACTTGGTTGTGGTTAACATGGGAATTAAAAATGGAGTTTTACATTCCATCTGGGTCTTATCAAGTGAATGTTCACGGATCTAATTAAATTTCAGTGGCATTTATGCATCTTAGAACTACTATACTAATTTTCTAACTGAAGATTTTCTACCTCCTTGCATTTGATATGGAAATTAAAAATAAGTGAACTTGATGCACTATGAAACAGAAGTTTTAAATGACCGTCTCACGAATCTCATATCAGTAATTTGGGTTTATTTGGCTTTTAATGTATTTGAGCCTAAAATGTTTTAATATATAGCACCTGTTCATTCAAGTATCACTCTATCAGTCAATGACATACAGTGAAAATGTTGATGTACGCTAGGGTTATTTTAAATGTTTATCGTTTACAAAAAATGGTATTTGTAAACTGTTCTCTCTAAATGTTGAGTCTAGTCAAAGCAAGACACGTTACTATTTCGAAAAACCGTTTATTGTTGGTCTGAACTTTGTAGGGAACCGTAGCTCTATCTGAATAATTTCATGGGATGATATGAAATCTGTGGCCGAAAACAATTTTAGGATTAATAACTGATTTTTCCGTTCGGGTTTTCAAACATCTTGTCTACTTATGACTTTCTAGCGTAACTTAAAACATCATTCTGTTCTCAGTCTTTTCTCTGTATTTTATTTGGAGAAGTGGCAATTTAAAATCGCCACACTATTGTACCATCTGTATTATTCCAGTTAATAAGTCAAACGTCCTTGTCGAAATTATACTTAATTTAGGGTAAGTTGAAATTTGATTGTTTTTTTCTCGCTTTTTGTATTAAACTACTATAATGTAAATTTCAAAACACAACCAATTAATGTCTACGGACTTGTTTTATTTTGTACCTGAATTATTGATTTTCAATGTAAACAAAATCTCCGATGAACATTTAACTGTTTATCTCCATTGGTTGTGTGTGTTTCACTCAACACGGGTTGGACTACCTTTCTCAGTGTTAGTTTTGTATGATCTCTACATAGTTCTGTTTTCAATACTGTATATAGTATAAATATTTTGGCTGGTTGTAGTACTTTTAGACCCATTAATTTTATTGTTTTTGGAAAATTTCCCTTTACTATTTTACATATAAATGAGTATCGGGCTCTGTACATGGACAGTAATGTAGTACGTAGAGCAAGTAACCAACCATTATATTATAAGTTTGACTTCGACCCTACCTATTTCGGTCTAAACAGCTGGTTAGTATCACTAGTCCTCACTCAAAAGTGTAGTTTCAGGCCGATTATATGAATTCAAACTTTATTAATTGGTCGTACAAACCATATTGTTCATGGATAATAGTTTCTGTTAAGTTTCTTTCAGTATCAAGCGTTTCTGACTTAATTTTATAAGCTGAATCTAATGTTAGGGATTAAATGAGTTCTTAACTATTTTTCTATTGAACTTTATCTATTGCTATCGAGTGTTATATTTATTCTTCATTAGTAAATCTGTAACTTGTGGACACCATCTACTTATGTTACCTCAGATAGAAAATTATCATGTTATCATATTACTGCATGAATCCAACTTTGGAAACCTAAGTAGCTTAATCTCGTCCAGGATCCTTTTCATAACCAAACTGTGCGCTAAAGCGTCACGTGCAAGCCGTCATTATATTACGACTCTAATACGTAATTTTTCCATAATACAACCTTTAAAACAAGCTTTTAGCTTTCACAATTTTCTCATTGTTGTCACAAACATCTCATCCATATTTCAGTTTTGCAGTAATTAGGTGGATTGAATTTGTGATCTCGTAAAACCGTTCTTCGCGATGTTTCAATCAACTTCCCATCACGTATTTTGATAAATCTGTATGATCACCTTCATTTGCTGTCAACTGTTGTGTATTGCAATCATTACTTGTGACCGTCGTACAGTATTTTAGTTTCCATAAGTCTTCTACCCTTGAACCCTCAACAGAAAGATGAAGTCTGGAAGTTTAGAAGTAGTTTTATTTTGTCAATTTGTGTGCGCGCAAAACAAGAGGCCATTAATAATGAATTCGATAGTCGTCCAGTCGGGATGAAAAAAAGATAATCTGTCGTTTTCTAGGTTCCGCATGAAAGCTTTTAAAGTGTTAATTGCTCTAAGTATTCTCGGCTGCTTTTCTGGTTTCTGAAGGCATTTGCGAATAGTTGGCTTATTATTGTAACATAGGAATAATGCTTTATGAGAGATGAAATAGTAATTCAAGATAACGCTGCAATGTACTGCTGAAACATCTTTATGATAACAATTGAAATAAATTTAACAAATCAAGTTAACAGAATCCCTAAATTGGGATATTTTAGAAAATATATTCTGAATAGAATGATTACGAAGTACTTGTACCTTGATAGAGTTTTTTGCATGACCATTACGTGGTTGCGAAGAATGATTTTTTATTTTAAAAATATTGAATTTATTGTTATGGCTCAGCTGTATCAATCACATAATGCATAAAATTTCCATCAATCATAAAGTCTTTATCAGTAATATTTATATTCGCTCGTCTAAGTGTTGACAACATAAGCTTAAATTGCTAGCAATACTTTGAATGATAATCAAGCTCAGTAACTAAGTTTATTTGCGAGGTCTAATATTACTTACTAACCACGTGTCAAAACTAGTAGATTGGATGCCAATCCAACCTCTTACACGATGATTACAACTCCAGTAATTTTGTTAGTTCACAATACGTCGATTAGTAGTTCATGAGGAAGTACATCTAACTAATTCACTAAAACTGTTTAAGTTAATATATTTAGTTTGGTAACAATCGGTTTGGTGTGTATTTCGATATTTCACTGATACCTCCTCCGCGGTTCTATTCGTAATTTGTTTCCTTAAAAAAGTATTTAAATACAGTTTGTTTTGCTCAGTAAAATGATGATAATCCGGTGACATAAACACATTTTTTAAATTCATATTTCCCTATCTTTTTTCGTATTTGATGTTCATTAAGGATGTGCTACTTATTAATCATTCCAGACTGACATAGAAGAAAACCTGTTCGTCTACAGGGAAAAGAAACAGACAACATATTTAACATAATTGTTATAAGCCAACTTTATTTGCATATATGAATTATTTATCATTTGATTAATGGTGCTTACAATAACTTGAGTTAATGAGAACAGTTTGTAGAAAATTAAACATTAATATAATGTTACATGGTTTCAATGAATTATTTGAATGTATTTTCTTGTAAAGTATTAGCTGAATTATTGATAAATATAAGAATAAGTCTATCAGTCATTTGATTGATTTAAAAATTTGAAATGCGTGAGTATTTGTTTTAACTCATTTTTCATGTATAAGTTTATGTACTAAGATTTAAGCCATAACTTTTTTTCAGGAAAGGTTTTTGATACTTTTCAATGCAAACTAAAGTTGAGGAAGCTGGGTTCAAACTTGCGACTTATTAGATGAAAACTGAGTGCTTTAATCACTTACTCTACTGGTATTTTGCATGAATGAAATTGAGTGGAGTTTTAGCACGACAGTATGCTTCATTTTTAGCACCTTGGTAGTATGGGGTCGCTGTTTAGGTTACTGAATATATAGCGTTGCAAATTTAAAATGCTCATTTATTAACCATTTTAAACGAAATTTTACTTGTCTATTTTGTTGTATAGTGTCTCAACGATACACGTGTTCCATCATGCAGACGACCACCTCTTGAAGTCCTTGTTCGTTTTCTCTATTTACTGTCACTTAACTGATGTTTCTTAAGTTCCATTGCAAAACACAACTTGCCAGTTAGTTCTACAACTACTTAGGACATATGTGCTTGCTACACTCAGTGTTACTTACTTAACGCAGTTCAAGTTTGAATAGGATTCCAGACAACTTCACTGTTGTTTTATGCTTGATCTCAGTGACCTCATAATGAGTTGTTGCGATTAGGAATAATATTATCACTTAATAGAGAGTTCAATCTTTCTAGCGTTTCAATGTGTACCGAAGCTAAAACTTATCTATACACATTGTTCAACTTGATTATGGAAGCAAACAAGTCATATTATTGTCAGGAATTGTTACTTATGATGAATACAGAAGTAATATGTTTTCCTGGATGCTTTCTTGTATAGAAATTGTAGTATACTATGTGGACTTCTTGTTACATATCTCATTGGTTAACATGATCATTATCCTGTGTTCAAAGCTTTTCTTGAGTGCCAAGTAATTGTTATACTGTGCTAAAATTGAGATCAACATTCACTTCATGAAAAAGTATTGCCAAATATTGATTCCATTTACAAGACGTCATAAAAATTAGCAGTAAATTTACATTTGCCTCTAAACAACACTTATTTTCTGTGAGCTCTTTACAAATTCAATAATATACATCTATTTAATGTAAATAAAGTGAAAATATTGTCCCTAATACTTTAATACTTAAAAATTCATACATAAGTACTAGGAAGTTTTTATAGTAAAAGTGCGCTATAGAAGTTAAGCAGAACTATTTCATTTGGCTCGGTGGAAGCTTAGTATCAAATATAAATGTGAAATCTTTTTTAAACCGATAATAGTCTTACTAATGTTCTATTTACGTATATCGAGTTGAATTGCTAAGTAGTTTAATCTATTTTTACACTTTACAGTCTTTCATGATGATAAACTTCATTCTGGTACACAATTTTATCGTCTTAATTACTTCTATTTTAATTTTTTCTTCAACTAATCATATTTTCTATCTACTTATTTAGTATAAATTTTGTTTCTAAATAGAAGACTGAGGTTTCTTTGTACTGTTTCATCTTTGTTTTGTTTTTCTAGCTTAGAATAAATTGTGTAGATTGTTTAGATAGAACAAATGCAATTGAAACACTTGTCGGTGTTCAAATCATTCTTCCTAAAATGTTAATGAGCCTTGGTGTAAATGTTAAAGATCAACATAATGTGATAAATCGTTTTGTTGATGGAATAAAACAGGTGAATTTATTCATTGTTGTTGTTTTCATGAATTTTATTATATCATTATTTTTACCATTGTATTCAATAGATCATTGGTGTTTTCAAACCAATGAATTATTCAGTCTTGAGAATAAGTATTTATTTCTTAGTCAAGAATGTATATAATATTTGATTAGTTGGCAAACATGCATTCAGAGGATTTTTTTGCTAGATATAGTCAATATAATCCTGATTCTAATAGTAATGGATTAGGTGTATATACTTTAATATAAGCATACCAGTTCACAAAACCAAAGCATCAAATGAACCAAATTCACCAATTAATCATTTTCTTTTTGACGTTGATTTTAAATAAACTTAGTAAAAATAGCTAACACTGTTTATTTAGGAATTGATTGTAATCGACTGTCATCAATTAATACTTTTTTCTCCTAAAAAGAAGCTGCCTATGTTAATCGACTCAGTGCACGATACTCGTTTCGTTGAACCGATGGAATGTACCCCTAATGAAATAACTCATTCCACTAAATAATAATAATAATCAGAGGAATGCATAAATGTTAGTGTTACTCTATTCCGATTTGGTATTTTAATATTTGTTAGGTCTTTACTCATCAGTTCTTTTCAAATTGTTAAGTGAACGTGATAAGTCATTTATTTACCCACTAGTATTCATGTCAATGAAAGTATGTTCAAAGAAAAACAATACAAAATCTATGTAGATATAATTGAAACGTCCTTTTTAAAATGTGTATTCATTAAAAGTTGATTATGTTAGAAACACTTTTTAGCTAAGTATTCAAATACCCATTAAGGATTAAGACTGCAGTTGTTGATATAAAATATTCGTTCAAGTTAAACAATATAAAAATGCTGTACATATTTTATCACTAATAGAATAACGTTGATCTTTGAAGACATCGTTTACCTTGTGCTGAAAAATATAATACTGTGGTGTGCGCTACTTATGCGGACATACATAAGTAGTATGTACCAGGAATTTGAAGTAGAATGCCTAGCAGCATAAGAGGGAAATAAAATGAAGAGGAAGGAAAACGAACAGTAATCGGAATAACAGCAGGATCGAAAGAATAACAAAGTATGTAAATAGCAACTGAAAGAAGATATGCAAATGATGTATTTTATGTTTTACAAAGGTACTGTGTAATTTTGCATAGAACAATAAATTGGTTTTCCCCACCAAGTCATCGTTCGCTAAAATACCAGTATGTAGAATATATTTAACTTGTTTCTTGGACTATTTCAGCCAATGTTTTATAAACTATGTAACTAAGTGACTGAGTACAAATTCATGTATTCGATTTTCAATCACACTGGTTGTGTGAATGCTAGTGATAATACTCATTTTTTAAAATCAAATGCAGTTCAAGCCCGTGACCAAATAGTTGTACGTCATATGTCTTAACCACTAAACCATTACCTCAGTAAGGGAGTGTAGGATTCTGGATTATTATACAACAAATATCACGAATCAGTGGTAATTTAGTTTAAAATTCGTCACTATGGCACCTATATATTCACTGTTTATCCTCCTTGTCAAAAACACATGAAGTGACAACGGTTTAGAAATGAATTTTAACCTATTAATTTAAGAAACATAAATAGCCTTCCAGGTTTTTTTTCTCAATGTTATAATTGTATGGGTAAATTGTTCAACATGCTTAACTGTTGTTGTCATATATTGAGGTGTATGTAGGTGTGAGAAGGTAGTTTACTATGTTTTTGGTGTTGTCAGTATGATGAGATCTATTGTATCTTGCTTACTTCAATCACTTCATGGATCTGATAAGTAATTTATGAGTATAAACAATCATCAGGTCATCCGTTTCAACTTGATCACTCATCTTTTGTCTGAAATTATCGTGTAATTGAGAGACAATTATGTCTCTGCCTACTATATAGTTTCGATTGGCTAGAATTTAGAAGAAACAATTATGTTTAGTAATGTTTTGGTGGAATTCAAGAAAACATATGCTATTGAAACACATGATATTCGTCACTATACTCGTTGACTAGATTGAAAATAACACTTAATACCAATCAGATCTCATGTTCTTTCCTAGTAAGCATTAGGAACATAACTCTCAGGCTTGTAGTAATGGCCTTATTATTGTCCACTTAATCTTCAATGTGAGTTTATTTTCTAAGGGGATTTATCTTTTTAAATTCATTGGGAATTAGTTAAATTTTGCCATAGATTTCGGATATTTTTCTCCCATATAATTAGTCTTTACTACTCTTCCATATTTTTTTTATGTTACGGCATAGTTATGGCAACAAAATGGTGATCATGTAAGTCGTATATACGCTGGAACTGGTGCTTTAGGTAGTGGTCGGTCAAAACTACGTGATGCTCAACGTACAGCTGTTCGAACGATTCAGCATAGTTTTTTCGATAGTGCAAAACAAGAAGCTATGCATATGTTATTGTCCAATTCTAGTTTACAAGGATGGATGAAACTTGTTGGAGGTTTGTTTATTTTATATGATTGCTTGATTCATGCTCCATTTTCGATGCAATTAAGTAAACAATCAAATAGCCATTCTGTGTTGCGGTTGCATTCGATTTCTCAAATCAAAGTAAAACTATTGGTAATTTCTTCGTTTTAACTGATTAAAGCTTTGGAATTATTCACTGTTGAATAGCTAATATCAATATATTACTGAATAATATTATCAGTAAGCTGACGATTTATACTAGAGGTATGATATCTGTTGATAAAGTTAGGTTTATAAGGTATCTGCCGGGTTTATTCAGTGTTTACTCCCATAAACCATTATTTGTTTGCATACCATCAACCATGATAAATTTTATACATTTTACTTTAGCAGTTAGCTGGCATTTTTAGTATTCACTTTTGTTTAGAATTGATATTAACTTATGAAATCGAAGAGGCTTGGAGACTTTATGTGATAATCAGTTGTACTTTATCAGAGTTAGGAATTCCACATAATATTTTATATTACTCGACAATTATTTCCAGTTTTAAAGGACGATGATTGAAGTTGAAAAGGTATTCAATTAGTGGTTGGATTCAAATTGTCCACTTTTATCTAAACTGTAACTCAAGATCAAGCTTCTGATTTATAAGATTCACTTTTGAATTGTCTTAATCTTACTTTAGTCAATTAGTGTTTGTTTTTATCCATCGTGTGGATAGTTTTTTTCCGAGGTTCCTCACTTCCTACAGTAGAGTTTGAACGCTTGTTATTTCTACGATTGATACGAGACTTGCGTCATAGTTGCAAGATGATAACTAAACCTCAAATCACATGTAAAACCAAGAGTGTTTAGTAAAATTAGAGTATTCTTCTACAAGAAAGCTTTCACTAAATGAAGAAAATTTGAGGTAATTACGCAATATGTCTATATATATAACTGATTATCGGTTTTGGAAAGGTGAGAACAAAAAATTATTTTACCGTTCATTGTTTACAAATAAAGTTGTATAAATATTATTATTTTTCAGAAAATAAATATATACACAAAATTTATTGACAATTTCATTTTGCTTTTGTTATGCTTTTTATATTTTGTAAAATAGAACAATATCTACCTAGACGATTACTTCATTCAACACCTACACTGTTGACTAATATTTTACATCGATATCCAGAATTTATTCAAATTCACAACCTACGCTTATTTGTTGGCACATGGAATGTAAACGGTGGTAAACATTTCCGTAGTGTTGCCCATAAACATGAATGTGTTACCGATTGGTTGCTTGATTTGGCACAAACTATTAATCAAAATACCAATTGGGGCTATAAAAGTCTTGATTTTACTGATTCAGAAGAATTAAATAAACCAATGGATGTATTTGCTATTGGTTTTGAGGAAATTGTAGATTTAACTACATCAAATATTGTTGCCGGTTCCAAACCATCAGCTAATCAACGTGATTGGGGTCAATTCTTACAACGTCATTTAAATCGTGATACTGATGAACAAGATTCTTATCTACTGATTACATCAGTTCAGTTAGTAGGTGTTTGCTTATTTTTATTTGTTCGTAAACGTCTTGCTGGTTCACTTAGAAATATTGCCACTTCATCGGTTAAAACTGGACTGGGTGGAACCGCAGGAAATAAAGGTGCTGTAGCAATACGATTTCAAGTAAGTACTGAACTCTGTTTCTCTGTATACTTCTGATCTTGTCCGCTTGTGGTATTAATTAAAACTTATTAGAAAATAACCAAGTAAATATTTCAGTAATTATTTTATTGTAATAATACTTAGATTGTCAAATCGTCTTTTTTATAACAAGTGTCCAGTTTTTTTCATTACACAGCAACAGTTTAATAGTTTTTGATATATATCAATTTATTTTAACAATAAGAGTTCCCCTTCGTGGTATGCAAATACTTGTTATCTTTAAATGTATCTGCCTTTGTAAAAATAATTCAGATAAACAGCGTATTTGTATATCAGAAGGGGTTTTTGTGGATATTATAGTAATTTTAATATTTGAGATCATGAGTCAATTGAAGCTAGACCACTATGGAAAACCTGCAAGCACTGGATGGCCGTTTCGTCCTATTGTGGGACTCTTCAGCAGTGCGCATCCATGATCCCGCCTTGAACTGCCGAGGAGTCTCACAATAGGACGAAACGGCCATCCAGTGCTTGCAGGTTTTCCATGGTGGTCTAGCTTCAATTGACTCATGATCTCAACCATTAAAATTACATTTGTATATAATTAGGTTTTTTTCACAATGACCACATTCAACTCCCCTGATCGATAGAATTTGTGTACTGTTAAAAATTGAACAGTATGGAATTAGTTATTGGTAATTTATCGGTCTTACAAAAGGTTAAACACTACCTGAGTAGTTTAGAGGCAACATATTTAAGTGAGCGACACTGGATGATCCGTGGGTTCAAATCCTCTCAATATTATAGACTTGCCTTACTAATGAGTGTCAGTCAATCCGTAGCTCAACTTCAGTGACTTCTTACTGATTACCTCTTAACATCAACCACCGTTAACCACAATGTAGAGTCACTTGCTTTAACTACTACATTGCAATTTGACCGGTGGGATACAACCAACATTCAATACTGAAACACAATGTATTGTTCACTATTCACTAACCAACTGTTTGAATTATTTTTCGCTTGAATCTACAGTAAAAATTATATTATCAACAATCAAGTAAAGCTGTTAATGTGATTAAAACTGAATTACATCAAGTTGTTATTATGATAGAAAAATTAAAGCATCTCAATACAATCCACTTGTTTTTTGTACTGTTCTCGACTTGATGTTAACATAGAAACCTTTCCGCGTTATGTAATTTGCCTCTACTAAGGATATATCACTTGAAAATAAAGTATCTTCGTTACTCAATAATTTAAACTTTGACACTGTTAACTTATTTTTGAGTGCTATGGTAAGTTATTTAATAATAAATAAAAGTTCTTTTAGGCAATCACCACTCATATCACGTCTCCCCATGTAATCCGAAAATCCTAGGATGCTAAATGAAGGCTTGACATCTTGATCTATTATTGCATTTTTTGTCTTCTTCAAAGGACATTCCTCTCCTTTGTAGTCCTGACCTTCCTATTATAATCATCATCCTTTGTCAGTAAAAAAACAAACACAAGTCAGTTGTTTATATTTCAACTGTTTAATTGATATAGTGCATATTACCAGGGAAAACGACTTTCTACTAATCTTCAAATTTTCATATAATAACACTGCTTCATCGAATTAACTTGAAGAGTTTTAGTGCATCGTAATCTGACTGCATTTGGTATCGTATGAATGATTGTTATTGAAATATACATGCTACCAATCCTCGTATATAATCATCTACTTAAATCGCGTTAATGAATAACAGAAATAAATAAGTCAAATACAAGGATGGATTTTAGAATACGTATATTTCGTACAATCGTTGATCGGGCAGTGAAGCAAAACAAAGTGACAGACAGTGGAGAAGGCGAGTTTGTCAACTCCATTCAACCAAACGTGGATCGTTATTTATAGTCAGACAAAAATAGGTTACGGACATGTGATGAGCCAGATAGGAAGTGTACACACGTATACTTACATACGAGCAATCAAGGTTAATAAGCGAATAAGTGACATGGCCAAAATGTAGCTTCAGGCGAGTGGATAAGCTAGTTTGTTCAGACGCTAGAATAACCTATATGGGCTTGACATAGGGCCAGCCACAACAGGGTAACTAAAGTAAATCAGATCCTACTCTCCAACTGTTCTGAATGCTAGTCTGGTGAATCCAATGTGTTCTCTTTACAGATCCAACTTATTAAAGCAACGGGCAATGAGTTAAACAGATTTCACCATCCTTTTCTCAATACTGTATTTCAGTTTCTTATATATTTGTTATGAGGAGTTTCGACTAATTTTGTTAGTAAACTTACTGAAAGACTGTAATGCATATACAAACATAAAGCAGAAATTTCGTTCCTATCGATTAATTATTGAGAATCAAGATTTCCCCTCATTTCATGTAAGTTATTTACTCGTCACGTGTTCTTGTGTCACTAATAATAATAGCTGTGTCTGTCTGTCCGTCCATCTTTTTACCTGTTTAATAAAATCCGTTTCTTTTTATACTGTCCTCTTTTTAAAAGCTGTTTTTCAATCTTCGTATCAATGTGATGTGGACGTTCGCTCTCTCAGAAGTGTTATTGTGTGTTTGTTTCTCGATTATTGATCGGTTTGTCTGTCGATGCAAACTTTCAATACAACAGTCCTACTTTCATTTTCTTTTAATAGTTGTACCTACTTGTGAATAGTTAGTTCCGAGTATCCAATGTATTCTTAATTATCAGAAGGGGTTTTGTGGAGATTTAGTATTTTCATAGTTGAAAACATGAGTCAATTGAAGCTATACCACCATGGAAAACCTGGAAACATTGGACGGCCGTTTCGTCCTATTATGGGACTCCTCAGAAGTGCGCATCCACAAACCCGCGCTCGCGAGATTCGAACCCAGGACCTCCCAGTCTCAAACCAGAGCCCTTAACCGATAGACCACTGAGCTAGCACCCAACGGGTTCTGGCTCGAGACTGGTAGGTCCCGGGTTCGAATCTTGTGAGCGCGGGTTCGTGGATGCGCACTGCTGAGAAGTCCCATAATAAGACGAAACGGCCTTCCAGTATTTTTAATTACCTAACCGAAGTCATTCAAACTTTAGTCAGTCGAATCGTAATCTTCAATTGTTTTACCAAAATAATCGAACTGAATATTTAACAAAAGTCGGATAAACGTCTTGACCTTTCCTAATCAGACGTATGTTTTATAAAATTCTCCGACTAGTAATGTGTACTTTGGTTTACAAACGTTTATTTGTCTGTGAAATAAAGAGTAAAGTCTGTTATCGACGCATATACAAGAAGGTAGTAATCAGCTTAATATTAACTGCATTTACCAACTGATGTAGAATAATTTCCCGATCAATCAGTAAAGCATGTTCAATAAATTATGTTGCTCATATGTGGCCCTAAATGTCCTGATACGACTGAGGATGGAGACTTGAATCATATATCAGAAGTGCTACTACTTATATTGTATTCTACTAGTCAGAGATAATTATTCTATGGATAATAAAGACTTTTTGAATCTCCAATTCAGTCTTCGTAATGCTGGTTGTCACCGCTTCGTTTGTATGCAGAGAACTAAGACACTGTAGTACAGTAGTTGACCAGGTAGCTAGCAGATGATTGAAAACTCTTTCTTTTATTTATAATACGACTGGCCTCGTTTAGATATGCATGTATCAAAGGTTGCTGAGATACAGAGTAGTTAAAACAAGCTAAATTGTGTTCGCGGTAACGATTCACATTTTTATTTAGCGATTCATTTCGTTCAATTCAATGAATCTATGTGTAGGTATCTGAAAAATGTTTTTTCTGGATTGTATATATATGAAAATTGATATTGCACGTAAATTCGATTGGTTTTTACCATTTCATGTTATTCTTTACTATAGGCTATTTTATTTTACTGGACAATTTGTGTATGTATTTGTACTTGACTCAGTTTTAATCTGAAAGTCAACTTTTAAGCGAATAATTTTATTTATTTTGCTAAATGTAAACAGTTAACCACTAAAGATAGTATTATAGTTAACGTCATGAACTGACTTATGTCAAACAACCACTGAAAACTGAGAAGCGATGGGTAGTTTTTTCATTCCATCATATGACTTCTCAACTGTGAGAATCATCGCCATCACTGGGGGTCGAACCTTGAGCCTTCAATTCTCGTGGAGGATTTTAACCTTTCGATCACTTAGTAGGCATCAAATGGTTTACATATCTAATTTTATTCATTTCGCGATATTGAGCAAGCATATTTCAGTGCCATCTGTGGGTATCTGTCTCTTATCCGACAGCGTTGAACTCCACAGGTCATGGTCTCTCACTAGAACTTAGAGTATTAGAGGGTGTCTGAGTGGATAAAAGGATTGTACGAACCTACTCAAGAAAATAAATAAATAAATTAAAGTTTACTGATGCAAATTGACTTGCAGCGTTGTAAGTTGTAAATAGTTCAAACTTGAGTTTTACTCTCAAATCATTCTTTTTTGTGTTAGTAACAGATACTATTGATAGCGCTTTTTCTAAAAAGAAGGTTTGCTTACTTGATATCTGAAGTATATTATTTTATTTGGAGTGAAATTAAACAGTAATTTAAGAGAATATATTTCAGTTAATTTTTTAACCATGTAAATTACATTGATTCTAATTTGCAAGTTATATTGTTCTCTCTCTTTCCAAATAAGTAATGTAACATTAAAAGAGTTTACTCTCTATATTTCTGTAAAAGAAAATACATTATTCATTATAATTTACTTTCCTATTTATGCGCTTTGCGTGCTTCATAGTTTTACAGATTTCACATTGTGGTATGAATCATCAGTCGATTTATTTATTCGGTACGCAATTAATTGCTAACACGTCTTACCGAATGTTGAGTCTGATTAAACCGCCTACCCAGTTCTAATCTTCGTGTTGCTTTAATTTATAGTCTTCTTTGCCTAACTTGATTGTATCATGTTTATCACGTTATACTACTTAATAATATTCAGTAAATGACTTCATTTTCGTTAATTTTTGGGTATGATGCTTAACTCACCCCCGTTGTTTTAGGGAATCGGTATATGTTTACTTGAACTTGTTCCGTTCCTTTTATTCATTAATGTAGTTGTAAATCTTCAAAAGTTGTAACGGTTGATTCTTATTTTCACGCATTCATTGGATTCTATCTGTTTCTATATTTTGGACTTTACGTCCCTGTTTCAATTATCTTCTTCCATTACCGTTTTATGCACGTCTGGTTACTTAGTAACCTATCATATGCCTTGTCGATATTACTATTTGAGGAGGTATTTTTTCTCTCATTGTATATTGACATAACAAGCGCATTAGATGCCTCACGAATCGAGGTTATTATTGTCTGAGACATATTTTTTTATTAATAGTACAGCATTTCAGAAAAGTCCTTTTTAATTTATGGATTTAATTTGTAATTTCGTCATGTAGTCATAAGTTTTTTTCAAAATAACACTGAATTATGTGTTAAGTTCACTTTTTTGCGGGTTAAATTTTTTCGGTATGCAGATCAAGTCCATTTCTTAGCTTAAGTTACCGAACAAGTTTACCTTCTAGTTACCTTACTGGGTCACTGATTTATGACAATTATGCAAACTTATTAAGCATATAGTTAGTCATTTAGAAAAGTCAAGTTGTTAAGTGTTAAGTAATCAACATCATAAGTTTAGGTTTTTTACTGTGTTTGTAGCAGCAAACACAATGCTTGAAGATCTCTAAATTCCTGTGCTAGCCACGTTACATCTATTCTATATCACTGTATCAGGACCTGGACTCACACATTTATAATATTAATCAGTCAGAGATGTATAGCTTGACCATATTCCACAATCGCACTTTTCCCTGAATATATTTAAAGCATATTGTTCATAGTATTTATGCAGTTAATATTTTGGAATCCTTTCGGTAAGCTTATAATTATTATTAAGGTGAAATTTTGTTGCGATTGGGCTTATTTAAAGTTAGTCCAAGTCATAATGAAAAGTATTTCTGATTATTTTGACTTGCCACAGTCTTCATCTCACCAAGGATTTAAAAAGCGAGAATATTTTAAATCTACTTTTGGGATTGTTCATGTTTTCATAATTACGGATAATATAGCACTGTAAATAACCTAAGCTTATTTTACCTGACTATGATATTCACTTGTACTACTAACTTTTAAAATAGTAGTTTATCTTTTTAAGTTAATGAATAATACTACTTATAAAAACTGCATTTAAATCGAGTATATATACGTTGAAAGATACTTTTTAGTGGTGTTTTGTTTTATCAGTTAAATGACTTGATATAGATACTGACGAACTTGAGTAAAATAACAACATTACTTTTACAGTCAAGCCCTTCAACTCAGAAACATGTAACACTAAAATAACAAACATTTAAGCTACAAATTTTTCAAGTTAGTGCATAATATTTTTGCAATCTCATATTTCTGTCAATCATAATTTATGATAAACAGTCAGTGTATACCAAAAATAATGAGCAGAACAAATAATGCATCGATGTAAACTACGGTTGCTTGTTGAATAATTTTCAGTTCAGAAAATCTTTCAAATTTAATAGTTTTTAAACACCTAGATATTGACAGATTTAACGGTCGTTTAAAATCTCAAATTCATATATGTGTTTTTCTGACAACTTCATTTTATAATGCAATTAATGAACTATTCTAAGGTTCATCAGTAACTCTTAAATTTAGTTACATTAATGAATAAAATACGTCAATCGTACATCGTTTCATTTCCTAATTGTAATTGATGTATACTGTAAAGCTTTCATTTAACTCGAAAAGAAAGAGTACGTGTTTCATTTTGTATAGAATTCGTTTGGATTAATCTAATCAATGTTTTACACATTGATGAGGTCATGCTCATGTATATTGATTATTATAATTTGCGTTAATGTCTTCAAGATATTTATGTATATACGTTGATAATAACCACTTTTTTCATGCATAAGTATTGATTTCTATACATATAGATTACATTTAAGTGACAGATTAAGTAAATTGAAAGTTTTCAATTTTTCAGCTGATCACTAATGAAAATCTTTTATTTTTTTTCTGCTTTGAAGAGATTAATTACATGAATATTTTATTAACGACATTAAACAATAGTAATGTAATGTGAAGATAACTGAAAAAAAATTTCTATTGAACAAGTTAACAAACTAATCAACATTCAGTTGTACAAGTTTAGGGAACAATGCCGTCATTTGGCTTTGGTTTAATGTTTTTATACGAATGTATAGATGTGTCCACTGTGTGTTCATTCAGTTGACAACCACTATACCAATCAATGAGATAGCATATTCTTCCAATATAAAATATTACTCTTTCGTTTGAAAAGTTATACATTTGCGTGTAAAGCATGTTAAATAAAACTAATGTATTTCATGTTACTCCTGAAAATCACAATTTAAATTTCAGAAGTAATGAAGATAGTACAGTTAAGCAAATGTAGTTTGTTTTATTTTCCATCAGCGCACATTTGAATCTCCTTATTTTATTATGGAGTGTAAAAATTATGTTTTGAATAAACTTAATGTAAATCAATGTTACAAACAATTGTGTGTACAGTTTATAAGACATTAACTAAGATATTGGTTGTTTTGCTAACCTCTTTATCTATCTTTTTATCTAGTTGGGTGCGACATCAATATGCTTTGTTTGCAGCCATTTTACAGCTGGTCAATCAGCTGTTCGTGAACGTAATGATGATTTTCAAGAGATTTGTCGTCGTCTTAGTTTACCTAACGGTCGTAATATTCTTAGTCATGATTATGTATTTTGGTGTGGAGACTTCAATTATCGTATTAATTTGTCAGGTAATGAAGTCAAACGACTAGCTACACAGTCTTCTTGGCTTGATCTCCTACGTTATGATCAGTTGACAATTGAGAAACTAGCTGGTAATGTTTTTCGTGGTTTCGAAGAAGGCCCCATCCGATTTGCACCGACATACAAATATGATTTATTTTGTGATGACTATGATACATCTGAGAAAGCACGTTCGCCTGCTTGGACTGATCGTATATTATGGCGTCGCGTAAAATTGACATTTCCCAAAACGGACGAAAATGGCATTGTTTGTACGCAGAATAATTCTCCAGATAAAAAATGGAATCCTGTTCGTTTGTTACTGTACAATCGGGCTGAGTTGAAAACAAGTGACCATCGACCCGTGGGAGCGATATTCAATATAGAAGTTCAGGTGGTAGGTAAAATATGTAGAAATGAAATTGTTGACTGGTATATATATATATATATATGGCGTCGAATTATTCATTCTATTTATTTTAATTACACCAGAGAATATCAGGATGCCTGTTTACTGATCACTAAAAAAGTGGAAAAACAATTAGACTGAATCTGTTTAAAAACTTTTATTAAGCGTTTTATAAGCTGTTGGTTTGTTTCATGCTGTGATTTGATGTCGTATAAGATATTTGGCACACATAGTTGATTGGCTAATGATTGAGTCAATAAAAACGGTCATGTTGTAGTATGTGCAGGTTGGAAGACTACTTATTTCAATTTGTCTGGGCCTCATTTTAAGAGGTCTTAGACAGACCAGGTCGAAATATTACATGGTCCTCTTTTCTTATTCACTTACGCACTCAAGTTACCCCTCGTCGGGAGCGTAGGCCGTCCATTAGCGTTCTCCTTTGAACTCTGTCATGGACAATCCTTTCCACTTCTTTCCAGTTGCTACTCATCATTTTGATGTCTGCTTCCAATTCCCGACGCGGTGTGTTCCTTGGTCTTCCTCTTTTCCGTTTCCCATCAGGACTCCAAGGTAGCGCTTGCCTAGTTATATTCTTATGATTTCCACAATGTACGTACTATCCGCCTCCGACGTCTCTTTCTAATTTCCTCTTCGGTTGGAAGTTGGTTTTTTCTCCACAGTAGGTCGTTGCTGATGGCATCCGGTCATCGTATATCTAATATCATGTCTAGACACTTGTTCACGAATACTTGTACGTTTTTGATGATGGTTGTGGTAGTTCTCCAAGTTTCAGCTCCATACAATATAACTCACTGTCTTGACTTTCCTATTGACGATTGTGACTTTGATGTTAACTTGCACACAGTTATTTTGACTTCCATATGTTCTTCAACCGTAGGAATGCGGCCCTTGGCTTCTCGATCTTCGCCCACATCGGATTGTTCACGTTCGTCGATGATACTAACCAGAAGTATGAATATTTCCATCTCTGCCAGAGTTTCTTCATCAAGTGTGACTGGGTTGGTGTTCTCCGTGTTGTATTTGAAGATCTTGATTTTCCCCTTGTGTATATGGAGTCCTACTGATGCAGAGGCTTTTACTATAATGTTCGTCTTGGCTTGTATTTGCTCGTATGTATGGGATAGGAGGACCCAAGACATCTGCGAAGTCCAGGTCATCTAGTTGCATTCAACCTGTCCATTTGACTTCGTGCTTCTTCTCAGATATCGAGGTCTTCATAATTCAATCAACCACCGGAAGGAGGAGAATGGGGTAGAGTTGGCAGCCTTGTCTGACTCCGGTCCTCACTCGAGATGTATTTGCCATCTGTACTTCATTCTCAACTCTGCAGCGTAGTTCGTCATGTGAATTCCGGATGATGTTGATGATTTTCTCCGGTACACCATAGTGTCAAAGAAGTTTCCATAATGTTCTGTCAAGTGCTTCCTCATAATCAAGGAAGTTGATGTATAGTGACGAATTCCATTGCATCGATTGTTCAACGATGATCTGTAGTGTCGTAATACGGTCTGCGCACGACCGATCCTTACTGAGTCCAGCCTGTTGACCTCGAAGTTAGGCGTCTACTGAATCTTTCAACGGGTTCAGTAACACTCCGTTGAAAACTTCCTCTGGTACCGGTAGTAGTGTGATGCCTCTGTAGCTACGTTCTCACATTTGCTCAGATCTCCTTTCTTTGATATGTTGATGAAGTATTCTGCTTTTCAATCTGTCAGTGGCACTTGTTCTTCCTCCCAACTCTTTTGTTGCACTTAATTATTTATTTATTTATTTGAACACATAAATATTGGTACAAAGGAGCACCGAATACATATGCACCTCACTAATCGCATTTGATTTGTGTGAGGGCCGTGATACTGCTCAGGTGCTCAAACTGAAGCAGGTGGTTTTCTTAGGGGGCCACACCCGGAGCCTTTGACCTAAAGGTCTGATCCACCATGCAGTGGAGCATCGTGAGGAGATGCAGTCCCATGTTAGCCGGTGACCAACGATTGGTTCATACGCCATTTGTTCCCTCAGAATCCTGGAGCCCATGTGTACCATTGGTTTGGAATCACGGTTTCCTAACTTCCCTAGATGGACGCGCCGTGTCCACCGACCCGGTTAAAACGCCGGACATTGGCTTTTCGTCCTCTCAATTTCGTAAACAACAGTAAGGCCACGAGAAGGCAGTGAGTAGGACTTCTCTGACAGAGGCTATATACGCGTGGCCATATGAGATCATTTGGAGAGGGAGAGTGGACTCTCCTCACTCTTGGCCGTACCGGAGCATTTGGGGGCACTTAGCTTTTATTATAATTATTAGGGATTTTGTTACGAAGTTGTGTCTCATAAATTAAGGTCTTTAATTCTTATGCCTTACACTCCTTCTTTATATGAGCTTGAAACTATCGGTAGCTCGAGATAGGATTCAGTTGTAGTTATTAAGGTAAAAAAATTAGTGTTTTAAAATATTACCTGATAACAGTTCTACTTTCTTCACATGCCTCTTCTGGTTTCGCCTTTAACAATTCAGATCTCTCTTCCCCCGTTATATATATATATATTTATATATATATATATATATCCAAACGGTTTCAATTTTAAAACAATGAATCTAGTTATTTACATACTTATTCCCATAGAAATTAATAATACAAGGCTAATGAATTGATAATTTTAATTATTCTTATTTAATTTACTCATTCATAAGCATTTTAATTTACCAGTTATCATACTAATTTAAAATATTGAAATGTGATCAGGTCATGTATTTACATTTTCTACATTTTTGACAGTTGAAAAAAAATTATATTCCTTTTGTAATTTGAGTTTAAAATTATCTTAAAATTTGTTGTCAATTCACTATTGATCCTCATTAGAATATGAATTTTGAGATTTGAGAAATTACAGTGGATATTTTATGTAGCAACCAATAGTCTAGTGTTATTTTAATATACAATATATATATATATATATATATATATATATATATATATATATATACCTAATGTGATTGTTGACACCATTATAAATAGTTGAAAAACATGAACTATTAGTGAAATATCTACAGGAGGGATTAATATTTAAGCAACAGTATTTTCACCTACAAGTTGTAGGAGTGTCCTTTCAAATCTCAGAATATTTCATAGTCATAGTGACTCGGTTTGAAGACATAACTAACAATCCAGGTGTAAATCTTTCTGTGAATTTAAGCTATCGCTGAACATGTAAATAGAATAAATCAAATGAAACATTCAACTGACAATTATATTCTCGTTCATACTAGAAACAAAACAATTTGCATTATTACTATTATTATTATTATTGTTATAATTATTATTCACCATATCGCTAATTCACCCCCTTTTATCCCCAATTTGTGTAACCTTACTTTTCAACTTATGCAGCAGCTCGCTCTTGGTGGAAAATCTGTCCTATCTAAACGATTTCCAGTCACTGTCTGGTTGAAAGTGCATACATCCACCGAATATGAATACTGAAGCAGCCTTTCTGAAACCACGTACGCCGTTCAAGCTGGCTTACTTCAACGTTCGCACACTAATGCAGATCGGACAACAGATGGGGCTGGCTATGTCTTTAGAAAGTCTTGATGTTGATGTTTGCTGTCTATCCGAGACCCGTATTCAAGACTCTAATGAAGTACTACAAATTCGCTCTCCATCTGTCGCTTCGAAAAGCTTGTTTCACGTGCGCTTATCCGGGGACTCTGTGGCATCTTCGTCTGGTCTTGCAGGCGTTGGTGTTGCACTAAGCGCTAGGGCTGAGGCAGCACTAATCGATTGGATCCCCATTAACAGTCGGTTATGTGCTGTTAGATTAGAAAGTTCCATCAAAGTGAGAAGAAATCGGCGTGAGAAACGGTGTCTTTTCGTCATCTCCGCCTATGCCCTGACAGATTGCAGCCCGGATGCAATCAAGGATGAGTTTTACCACCAGTTAACAGTTCTTCTCCAGAAAGCGCGTTCGACAGGCATTGTAGTATTAGCCGGAGACTTGAATGCTCAGGTCGGGCGTCTAGGCACAGAAGAGAGTCGTTTAGGTGGCCGGTGGGGACTTGTTGATCGCAGAACAGATAACGGGGACCGTTTGCTGCAACTGTGCACAGACCACAACCTGTTTCTGGCTAGCTTTAACTTCCGGCACAGTCATCGCCGGTGTGCCACCTGGCGTCCTCCGTCTGCATCTCAAGCCTGGACTCAGATAGTTCACATCGCGATCAGCTACCGCTGACGTGGTTGTGTACAAGACTGCCGCTCCTTTTGGAGTACCTATCTGGAGTCTGATCATGCCCTGGTCTGCGCCAATGAAGCAGCAGCTGCATCTGGTAACTGCCGGAAGCTCTTCCAACTCATCCGAGCCACTGGCAGCAAGAAGTCTGGTGTGAGTGAAACAATCTACGAGGATGATAGGATGCCGATCACCAGTTCGTCCTGCCCCCCATGACCGGTGACGACTGATCCACCAAATGAGGCGGAAGTCCACAAGGAATTCCAACTCTTGAAGCGTTACAAATCACCGGGCCCAGATAACTTACCTCCGTCTCTTTTTAAAGGTGGTGGTGACTTTCTGACTAAGGAATTGACTGTGTTGTTTGCAAAGGTTTGGGAGCAAGAAAGTGTTCCAACATCATGGAATGAGTCAATAGTCGTCCCTATCTTTAAAAAGGGTTCACGTTGTTCCTGCAATAACTATCGGGGGATAAGTCTACTTTCGATTGCGTCCAAACTATTGGCTCCTATCATTCTTCGTAGGTTGTTTAAAACCCGAGAACGATTGACTCGCGAGGAGCTGGCTGGTTTTCGTTCTGGTCGAGGATGCATTGATCACATCTTCACCCTCCGCCAAATGTTAGAACACCTTCATGCTTATCGCAGGCCAACAATCGTAGTGTTTCTTGATATCAGGGCTGCCTTCGATTTGTTGGACAGGACTGTTCTCTGGGATTGTCTATTGAAGAAGGGTGTGTCTGAGAAGTTCATTAACATCTTAAAGGCCCTGTATACGAACACCTCAGGCAGAGTGAGGGCATACAACCACCTTTCTTCCTTGTTCCATTCGAGCAGTGGGGTTAGGCAGGGTTGCCCGATCTCACCATTCCTCTTCAACTTTGCCATCGACGAAATCCTGGAAACAGCTCTGATGGATGTAAGTAATGGCGGTGTGGATATGTTGCCTGGAGAACGACTTCTCGACCTTGAGTATGCGGATGATGTCTTACTGTGCGATAATGCTCAAGCCATGCAATCCGCACTTAATCAGTTGGCAATTAATGTCCGTAGGTACGGCATGTGCTTTGCACCTTCCAAGTGCAAAGTACTCCTACAAGACTGGCAGGATTCCCATCCTGTACTCACCATAGATGGTGAGCAGATTGAAGTATTTGAGAGGGTAGCTACATAAGTGCTGGTGGTGGCGTGAGTGATGAGATTGATGCACGTATAATGAAAGCCAGAGCGGCTTATGCCAATCTGAGCCATCTCTGGCGCCTTCGTGATGTTAGTCTGGCTGTAAAAGGTCGGATCTTCAACGCGTCGGTGAGAGCAGTTTTGCTCTATGCTTGTGAAACCTGGCCTCTCCGAGTTGAGGATGTTAGACGACTCTCTGTGTTCGATCATCGTTGTCTCCAAAGGATTGCTGACATCCAGTGGCAACACCATGTTAGTAATGCAGAGGTTTGGCATCGTGTGTTGGGGCGCAGAGACGATAATTCAATTGGTGTCACCATCTCGAAACACCGACTTCGGTGGCTTGGACATGTTTTACGAATGTCGTCCCAGAGAATTCCACGTCGTGCATTATTTGCCGACTCTGGGACTGGTTGGAAAAAGCGGAGAGGAGGTCAGTGTATGACATGGTGTCGTGGCATGAAAGAAAGCTGCAAAGGGCTAGCTTCTGTTGGTCCTTCACGACTTCCTGGCTGGGGTCCGAGAGATAGTGCAACACAGTGGCTAGAGACGTTATCAGATATGGCTCAGAATAGAAGCCAGTGGCGATCCTGCTGTAACCTTCTTTTACTTTCTACATAAAGAGTGGTTCTAACTTTCTTAACTGAAAGAGTCTTCTGGTTGTACATTTTAGTTCCCCCCATCATTACTCTTCTCCTCTTCTTTTTTTTCCCTTCTTTTATATATACGCATGTTCTTCCTTCTCTTCCCATTCTCATTATTTTGTGTGGCGCATATGTATCCGTTGCCCTTTGTACCAATATATATGTGATTAAATAAATAAATAAATGAACATGTAAAACTATTTACAATTTTTTGTATTGTCAGCCTTTAATTTATACAAAGGATTGGTATTCACGCTTATACTAGTTTTGTCATTTTGTTTACTGACGTCTTGTAAGTATTTGTCATTCAGTTGTATTACGTACTAAAATAGTTTACTCTTCATTGTCTAAGAAATTATCTACCTTTTCTAGTGTATGTTAACGATTATGTTTTTGAGCAGATCGTTTTCATTGTGATAAACAAAATAACCTCTAAGATCATACATATATCATAAACTTCTATAATTGTATGCAATATCGAAGGCATCCGTAAAAATGTCTATAGGTCATCAGAATCGTATTGGATTCAGTTTTTCAATGTTAACAACTGTAGAATATAAACTTTTCTCAGTAATAATTCTTTATCAGCGGTGTAGTTCATTGTTATCTGTCGTGTTGAAATTAATTCTTTTCTGGAGCGTTCAATTCTTACTATTCATATAGTTTGCATTTCACTAAAGATAGACTTTAATCTTAATATGTGAAAGAAAGATAGATAGTTGTATATTTTATGCTAATTAACAAATGTAAATTGTGTTCATATGAATTCATATTTTGAACAATATTTTACAGATTTCACGACAATCTCGACGTAAAGTTATTTCAGATGTTGCTGAAGATTACGGTCCAATCAATGCTACTGTTCAAGTTTATTTAAAGATTGTAGAAAGCAATTCAAAACAATTATTATCCGAAGATGTTAAGCCATACTTATTAAATGACACAGACTTCTTAGAAAGCCTAAAGTTGATTGGATCATCAAGGGAGGGAACAATTTTACTGTTACATTTCCTAGATCCACTTACTATACTATTGATTTATGCCAATTCTAAGTAAGTTCATTTTCTGAGTTGTGATTATTAATTTTTGACAACAGTCAGTCATCTAAAATGTAAGATAATACATGAATCTGTTCTAGTCTAAGTTATCTCACAATGGCTGTTTTGTTGACACAATAATCCTTGTTTGCTATCGTGACAAATAACCGAAATATATTGACCAAACCATTTATTTCTTTAGGAGGAGTGTCTGTTCAGTAAGGGTAAGGCTGAAAACATCAAGCTTAAAGTTTGGGACAAAAGTTGTTGTTTGTAGCAGGTAGCATCGTGATCCCTACGATTACCCAGAATTTCTAACAACTTGGCACTTGGCTTTGAACCTTACTCGAAGTGTGAGGGCTGATGATACTGCCCTGTTATCCAAACCGAAGTAGATTGAGCAGATTTTGGACATGTGACATAGTGGTTCAAAGTCAAGTGTTTCAACCACTAAGTCAGTGCTTCGTAATCACACCACTAAGAGTCAACTATATTCTTCATTAGGTTTTCACACCGCATTATTAAGAATTTCTTTTTACCCCCAGTTCAGTTATTGTCGATTCTGGTGGACGGCCTATGCTCCTCCACGAGGGGTAACAGGCGTAAGTAAGTGGGTCATTTATTGTCAACAGAATGACTAGCGGAGAGTATTTAAAATTTTTAGTCACAGGAGATGTCCTTGGGGTTTTTCCCTACTCTGTACTAAAATATAATTGAAAAGGTTACTGTCAGATTATTCGAAACGTGACTAAATTTAGTCACTGTGAAAACAACTAGGTATGACTCTCATGTTCATCTGATGACTGTCAACTGGAATGGATAATGTGTGTATTTAGTCCCAAAATCATTCATTGATAATATCTTGGACAGGTATCGGAAATATCATGTTAGAATCATGAAGCTAACCTGAAGTATATGCTGATGATGTTGTTCAGAGGAACAATGCAAGCTCCACAACTAAACCATCTAGCTTAGAGAATAGAACTCCACAAAAAAGGAGCTAACCTTGTGTTATAATCGTTGCAACGTTTCTTTATTTTTGTGGGTGTTAATTAACAAATAAACTATTTATGAAAGCTCTCATCGTCCTATGCTCTGAAAATTATCAAACATAGAATATGTGAACATTCTAGTTTAGAAATAAGAAACATGATTTTCCTTGTAGGATGTATCTGTTTAACAGCGTTTACATTTTTTAAGGCCATTTAGTTAAAATACACATTTTTTTTCCCAGACAGGCGTCTATCGCTGCAGGATTTTTAAATAATTATATTATACCATGGGATGTTTCAACAAACGGACTACCTAAAATAGCTGGTGGTTATGAAATTCACTTATCCACTTCATTATACAATTCTGCAAATTGGTTAGATCGTATGCAAAAATTGATTGAAATTTCAGAACGTGAAGAATCGAATATAAACGATTGTCGAATACCAGCTGAAGTTTTCAATGCATTACCTTTAATAAAGAAATTAGATAAACAACGACCTCCTAAATTTGATGACAACAATGAACAAACTTTAAATAGTGATAATGAAGATTTCGAAAATGATATTACTAACTTAAACATCAACCGGGCTGTTGAACCATCACAACGTAAGTTGAAAAGATTTAATGAATGTTCTTTGTTTTTAAGAGCTTATTTATTACATTCATTCATGTGGTCATTTTAAGTCCTATCGTCTGTTCATTTACGAATTCATATTGTTTATCAAATTACTTTCATGTTAATGGAATGTTTTCCATCAGTATAAGGTTGTGGAGATTTTTAAAGTTTTAATAAGATGACAAACTTATCCAAGTTAAACAATCATTTTAAACTTGGAAGTGATGGACGGCCGTTTCATCCTAATGTAGAATTCCTTATTAATGGTCATCCATGATTTAACAACTGGGAATCAAATTCAAGATTTTCGATTTCGCGCTCAAACGCCTAATGTCTAAACCGCTGAGCCTGCCTCCAACGATTTTAATGTCTCACTTCAATCAATTAACGATATTATGTGATTATCTTCCTCTGCGTGTTGCAGATAACTGTCTCACATCCGATACGGATAAATTTCACTGATTATGGCTTCTCATTAACATTTCAAAATCTCTGTCTCAGTGGTCTTAAAAAGTAGGTGTCCGCTCCTGAGACCGAAGGCCTTGGGTTCGATTGCCGGGTGCGGGGTCTCAGATGCGCACTCCTGAGGATCCTTAATCAAGGATGAAACGGCCGTCCACTGGTTTTATGTTTTCAATAGTTGTCTGACTACGATTTTTTCATGATTTAAAATTTATAGAAATTCTTTATTATCTACAGATCATACACTGAAAATATTTATTGTTAATCAACTGACAGGATTGTTGAATTGCTAGGGATCCTTTCACAGTTTAAGCACTAAGCTCTACGAACAACTGATGTAGTTTTAATCACTTCGTTAAAATTACGCACTTAGATTTTTAAAAGTATTACATTTCTTCATACAAATAAAATCATTTTAGAAGCACGCTAAGTACAACAACAAAATAAGTAATTATTCAGTCAGAATGTGACGCTTAAGTCGTCGTTTTTCTAGATATTTCTTCAAGGTTTCCGTTGAGTGTTGATTGAATAAAATATCTTTAGCTCTTGTCTGGCCTCTGAAAACTTTTTCGAGGAAAATCCAGGCTCTTCCAATGTATTATAGCAACAAAAATAGTGTCGTTACCAGAGTTACTTTACAATGCACCAAGAAAGATTATCCTTATGTGTCAAACAAATGCAATTGAACATTTTTGCCAGCCAAAAACATTTTCAGCAAAATCATCAATAAGAGTTTAAGATTATATGGTACCTTTTAAATCAGAACATAAGATGATTTTTTACTCATGGAAACTACATAGTCCATGCATATGTTTCCTAATTTTAATGATCCCTTGAGGTGATAATTGATCGGATATATATCAGTGATTGTAGTATTCCGAACTGCTTCAAATCTTTACCGAAGATCTCAGAGAGAAATAAAATAAGTGTGAAGAGAGATAATAGGTTTATAGAAGAGAATTCTCCTAGTTTTGTGAATAAATGAATGATTTGATTAAGGGGTAAATCGGTGAACGATGTTTTTTTAGACTTTAGAAGTGTGCTACATGATATTTCCAATTATCAGTTTTTCTTTTCGTGAGCATTCAAGTCAATTCATCCTTGTTATCTGTGGTACAAGAACAATGTGATAGATGATGATACGTTGTGTACCAGAAAAATGTTCTGTATTACTACAACTTTTAATGTCAGCTTATACTAAAGTTATACTAGCTGTTAAATATTCACATAAGTTATGATGATTTTAGTCTTTAAATTCCTATTTCTCAGTTTTATTTAACTGAAATGATATGCCGTACTTCGATATTTCATCATAAATTAATGACATTCGGAAAGTATCGTCCTTCGAATACGTACAGGCTTTTTACTTAGCTTACTTTCCGTATTTATCACATAAAAATATGGTAACACATAGTCAAGTATGGGATAGTGGATTTTTCGTCGTTATTACACAGATTTCATTACAAGATTTACTAATCTAGGTTATGAAAACTCCTTTTAGTCTTCCTTAATTTAATACAAACTAAGATTTTGAACTCTATCTTCGAATGTATTTCATTATGAACTGAAGTTCCCTACGGTCATTTAGATTTAGTTACGGCTAATCGATGTTAACGTTTCAACAATCGTTAACTTCAGTATTAAACACATTAACTACTAATAAGTAATAAGGCGTATTTTGAGAATGTTACATATCTGTTGTCTTATATTTTATACCAATCCCACGTCGTAAAAAATATTCACTAAAAACAGACTAACCCTCGAAATCCAAACTATCATATAATAATTTTGTGTAGAACAACCAATTTAATTTTTGATCTAACAACAGATTTAGAACGAAAGGTGTTTCAAACCTTATTATCTTGTTAGATAGTTTCACGACTGCAGTGATTAACATGATTAACTGCAGTATCATAGAGTTCATGAGCTCCTATGTTCTTGTATAAATCATTATTGAAGACACAATGTAAAATATTTCAGCTTATTTGTTGTGGTTTACCACAATTTTTATTCACTCACCCAACATATTAAATTGGAGTAAATGAAAACAGAGAAGCGGTTGCGTATAATCTTCCTCTTCTATTTCTTCACTATTCAGTTTTACAAAATGATGTACTGTCGTTACATTTTAGGATAAGTGTGGTAAATATCAGTCCATCTCCTCAATTATTGTGATTTTTTATGTATACCTCCCTCTCTCTGTATCTCCTCTTTAAAACATTTTGCTTTGATTTTTCTAACTTGTTTACCAAGTACAGGGCTTGTGATAATCCTTGATTAACTAAGACAGATTAGTTGGTGGGAATTCCAGACATGCGATTTAATTGTGAAGTCAAATGCTATAATTGACAACCCATTTCTCTGTAAATATTTTGTGGGTAGTTGCCTACTTGTCACTGTTCAAGATCAACTGTTTACCTGTTAAGTTGACTATTTTAAACCACATTTGTGAACTATTCAGATTGATATATAAATTCATACGTTCAACTGTCAAACTAATACTCATCTTTTAAAATGATACTGACTGACTCATGTCGCTTAATAATGGTTACTAATCGAATAAATACCGATATAAACAGCTGTAAACTGTCGTCCTTTAATGTGGCCAAGTACATTGTTACGATAATAATAAACAGATGTCACTGAGTAGCAAATGTGCTTATTCCCTTAAAAACATATTCAATTAAACAGTAGAAATCTCAGAAGGTAACTCCTGGTTTGATTGTAAATAATGGTGGAAATCGTGTAGCAATATCAATCAAGATTTAGAAGATAGACGCTTCTATCAAAACTACAACCACCTGAAACATTGATGTATAACTAATTAGCTTCTTATCAATATTTTAGTGTTATAATATTCCATCTAAATAGTTTGTGTTACGAAATATATCATTATAACCTTCACTGGAATATTTAAACATATCTTATCTACTTCTATAATCAACCCTTCAGAAGTTTCAAAGATCTGAATTTACTTCTATCTTTAGTTTAATCTTCTGTGAAGATTAACAATATGAAGTTCACAGTTAATCTGTTTAGTTTTTTCTATGAGAGAATTCGATTAAATCTTAATGCTTGATTTATATATTTATAACGTTTCGATACAACTGTTTTTTCCTTTTTAAGAAAAATTAATTGCTCCATTATTGTTGTTGTCATTTTCGTCTACCTTAATTATAGCTCGTAATCGTCCACCGCCTCCTAGACCAGCTCCACCATTAATTAAACAATCAGTGAGTATTGGTAGTGGTAATAATAATAGTAAAGATGAATTTGACGATTATCCAACTAATAATGATAATTCAATTAATACAAAGAAAACAAATATCTCCGATCCTTTATCCCAAGCTGATAATGAAATTGATTCGAAATTTAAAAAAATATTTTCTATTTCACATTCTCAAACTAATTCACCTGTTCATGAAGTTTCATCAAAATTGAATACTGCAATTTCAAATGATTTATTTATACCCTATAATGATAGTATTCATATGGTTAACAGTTGTGTAGATCTTAACTTTCAGGATAATTCAATTTTACAACAAGATAACAATAATAAAAATCGTATATCATCCACAATTGATCTTATTGGACTTGACTTTGAAAATAATTCCACTATCAATAATGATACAACATCGTCATCTACTCATTGGTTTGATTCAGTCATTGTTCCACCTCCGTTACCTCAAAGACCAGAAGATGTTAGATCATCACATTTGTAAGTTTTCTTTGTGTTCATTTCAAAATGTTTAATAATTTAATAAATTCTTATTTAATTAATCAATTTCACCAGCTGTTGTCCTCGTTTGAGTTCTTGTAGTTCTATTTATTTATGGAAAAATTATTGATTTCGGTAAAGTAAGAGTTCTTGATGAGGTATTTAGAAGATCCATGAAATAAAGAAACATTTGTTTTTGATTGATAAGACATTGGTTCTATGACTTTTTCTAAAATGTTTTTTTAAGCCTAGATAGTTTATTCAGACGGTAGGCGACTTATGGAGATGAATATCTCTTGCAATATAATATACGAATCTACAACCACAACCTCATTAGGGATCGGAATCAGGAATTGGAGGTTTCAGAGGGAAACATGGAATTTTTAACCTAGTAGTTAACGTTTTCAACATCTGACAATGAACGCATAAATTATCGAATGATATCCGCTGTATTTTTAAAACAGTTGAATTTTAGTGGTTACTTCTTTTCATTAAAATTTCAAACATTCCTCTTGAACATACTGAAGAGGTTACTACAATTAACATAAGGAACTCTTCAGGAGGTATGAGGTATCAAACCTTTGTTTATTAGTCGTAAATTGGGATGAAACAGTTGTTCAGCAGTCTATAATCTTTAGTCATTATATTAGTCTGTAATTTAAATGAACGTCCATAACTTTATACGGTATTCGATCGAACGACGAATATGTAAACTATTTTTCATAAGATGAAAGCCTATTATTTGACGGTTAGCTGAATTTTGTTCATTCAATTAACTAAATTATTGTCTATTACGTAGTCTAAGTTTTCAATATCTGTTTAACATAATATTCCTGAATACTGAAAATTAGTGATTAAACTATGTAATTATTTATAACTTAAAAATTAATCATAGTTTTGTAAATGCACATACATATTATGTATCTTTCTCTAAAGTTCTAAGGCGAACCTACTTTTCTTGTTAATTCATGTTTTTATTTTAAGTTTTTGCATTGTAGTAATCTTTCTCAGATTCCTGTAAATCTTACAGCAAAATAAACATGAAATGATGGACTTTATTTGTTCAACTATATTTGCACATACTTAAGCTGTCCTAGTCCCAGTTTTTGTTAGAAAACAAACTAATTTACCAATTAATAAATTTTGTAATGAAAAAAACAATCTAAAGTTGTTATTTTATCCTCGTCATATTCAGTTCCTGATGTGTTTTATCTGATTTCAATATCAAATTACCGTATCTAATAATACTCGCTGAATATTTTTCCAAAGTTTGTATTTAGATTTATTGTCTTTATTTATTTATTTAAATACATAAGTATTGGTACAAGTCGGCACAGAATACACATGCGTCACACACGTCACTTGGTTTGTGAGTGGGCTGTGATACTGCACGAGTGCCCAGATTAAAACAGGTGGTTTTCTTAGGCCACACCCCGAGCCTTCGGCCTAAAGGTCTAATCCAAAAGGCATTGGAGCATCGTAAGGAGATTCAGTTCCATGGTAGCCGGTGACTAACGATTGATTCATACGCTATTTGTTCCCTCAGGATACTGGAGCCCATGTGCACCATTGGTTTGGAATCAGGGTTTTTCAACTCCCCTAGGTAGACTCACAGTGTCCACCAACCCGGTCCCAATTTCGTAAACAACAGTAATGCCACGAGAAGGCAGTGAGTAGGACTTCCCTGTCAGAGGATATATATGCGTGGCCGTCTCAGAGCATTTTGAGAGAGAGGTCGGGACCTCCTCACTCTCGGCCGTATCAGGGCATTTAGGGGCATTAATTTAGTAATGTCTTATTTTAAAAATTTAAGATATTTTTTATGTACTTAACCGAATTAAACAGAGTCATCGAATGGAATTAGGAATTTTTTGGAAAGAAGAATATTTAACTTACAATAATAACTAAGTTTCTCGCATATATAAGAACTCTCGTCTAAATTAGAGCGAATAGTTTCACAGTATTTGAGCGCCGAGTTGATGCAAGACATTAAATAGGAATAATATATTTGTAAAATCTCAGCGAATGAATTTGTAGTAAATCCAACGTTTCGCCTGGCAATCTGGTCCAGAAATTAATAATTCCTTGAAAAAGCTTGGACCAGATTGCCAGGCGAAACGTTGGATTTACTACAAATTCATTCGCTGAGATTTTACAAATATATTATTCCTATTTAATAAGTTTCTCACAGTTTGATTTTCTTCGTACTAATTGTTTTAAATGTTCATATTTTACTTTTAAACAAAAAAATACGATCAGGATGAAAAGATCCGTGTAGATCAGTAGTGTGATATAAAACACACAGCTAATTTAATAATTTTACAGCTGTATTGTTTGATTACTCTTTTTTATTCTTTTATGGATTTAAAATAGCGAAGAACATGTATCAGTTATAGCTAAACCCCATCTTCTGATTATTAGTTTAACCTGATAAATTTTTGTAGGCTTGTGTAGACGACCTAAAACCACTTCATGGTTGTGTGTTTGAGTGAGCGAGAGAGAGAGACTGTCCGAATAATAGAGTAGATGAAGGGAAATCTGAACATATGACTCAGTGATTAAGACTCAAGTGAATCATCACCCTAGTTTCAGGGAGCAACAAGGAAACAGTATGATTTTTTTTCTGACTTCGAAATATTACATTTATGTTCTTTTATGTCGCTTTTCATCACAACTATGTTAATAATCATTTACATTTAACTGATTAATGTGTGTATGTATGTAAATATTTTATCACAAAGAGCCTGTCCAAAATGGTGTAATAGTGATGAACAAATATGGTGTGTGTTCGATCGTGATCTTATACAAACTCATTATATGCTAGTCAATGAATTTGAATTTCATCACTTATTCGTCGTCATTCTTTAAAACTTATTTATGCTGTTTGACTGATAAACGTACTTTGTCTTTTCCGATTTTCATACTAAATTTTACATTTTTTTATATACCTAATTTCAATTTAGTTATTACGCTGTAATTAAAAAATGTCTTTTTCTAATGCTTATTTTATGGTTCATTATTGTGGTCCAGATAACGATTATGTGTTGAGTGTAATTGTATATTATATCCCTAAATCGATGATATGTGTAACTACATACTGTTTAGATTAGGTTTATTTATCATCTTTTAAATAGTATTTGAGTATTTTGAAAATTGTGTCCTTCACCTAACTTGTTCTATGTTGCAGAAATTACTCGTTGTAGGGTTATTTTATTTTAGTATATAATTCCCATTTAAACATTAAAATTAAAACACGAAGTTCAGCGAAGGGATAATAAATTCGTTGAAGAGAGATCCCTTCGCTTTACTTCGTGTTTTTATTTTATTTTACCTACATGATACGGATTTGATGTTTTTGTGTCTGGGCTACAATCTAGGTTTAAGGGATAGTAACAACACATTGTTACTGAAACCATTTGCGTAAGGTTTGAACCTGTGACTTAATAGTTAGAAGTTGAATCCCATAATAACTCAGTCACAACTCTGATGGTTATAGATTAGCTTTATTTATGCGAAATCAAAAGGTTTGTTTTTCTGACATCTGATTGTGTAATTATTTATTTAAAGTATTTTGTATATGAATAGAATGATAGGATTTCTTATTGAAATGCTACATTTCAGTTGACTAGCGACTACTTAACTGATGATTCTGATATCTTTCTCCTCCCGTTGAATTACACACCGAAAAGATTGTATTATTCGTTCCGACGATTAAATTTCATTTCTTTGTTAAGCACAAATATAGATCTTCTATTAATAAATTTATATAATTTGTAGTTGCAGTTTGTAGATATTTTTCTTTTAAATGATACAGTAGCCGTTGTAGTTTGTTTTTCTACTAGATTACAATCTATTAATTATTAATCGTACTTTCATTATATGCCTGTTTCCATTTTGTTGTCCAGTTTAACATGAAATTCAGTCATTAATCACTTTTTCATGCATTGAGCAACATACCATTCATTGTCTAAATGCTAGCCATGATATGATTTCCTTGTGCTGAGAATTCTATATTGTATTGTATATTGAATAAAGCCATTAATAATAATAATAATAATAATAATAATAATAATAATTATTATTATTATTATTATTATTATTAGTAGTAGTAGTAGTAGTAGTAGTAGTAGTAGTAGTAGTAGTAGATAAAATATTATGCAAACTCATGATTTATTTTATGAATGGAAGATAATTGTTTGTACTAAATAAGAAAAGCAAATGCTTTAATTAAGAATACAGTTCATTACAATCTTTATTGGTAGACAGTTTCACCATAATTTTAATAGATTAATTGCTTTGCATCAAACAAGCAGTCTATTCATAACGTACTTTTCAAGTTTAAAGACTGTTCAGTTCTTCCTTTTATTTAGTTTCAATCGATTTCCTTTGTAGCGATAACATCTAGATTAATAGATGTTTTTTGAATAGGGCTGCATAATAATGTGATTTTATTAGTTTGCATATAAGTTCATTTTCATATGGTTATGTTGTTACTAAGATATTTCATGTAATCAAAAGAAAAAAACTAAAAGAGTTACACATTAGAAAAAGCCATTAAATTTCTCTGAATTATTACTAGGTGTTTAGTTAAGTCGGAACACCGTACATATTCATGTAGTTTGTCAAGCTTGGTTAAGGAAATGTAGATCTGCCTTTTTTGGTATAAAGTATAAGGTACATTTGGAGTTAGTGATATAATTCAGAATCTGTCATAGAAACGACTGTGCATCGGGATCTCACTGTGTTCTCAGTTTTAATAACTCTTATTCTGAAGTTGAATATTCAGAATCACATAACAGAGTCGTCAGTTACTCTTGAAATTGATGGATCTTGTCAAATGTGACCTCGACAAGTAACTTACGTATCTAGCTCCATCAGAGTAAGTGAGCTAGTAATATACACTGAATCGGTCGGCGGTGTTGATTTATCTTTCTTCCGACGATATGTAAAAGAGTGACTATAATAGATTATACAATGACTTGATGCGTGTAGCGTCTTTA